CCTGCATAGATAGAATGGACTTCCACTCGTAGCGACCACTCGGAGATATCTTATCCATCTGCAGCCAGGCGCTCAGCACTAGGGTGGCGAATGTGGTCATTATCTTAACGAGGCTGGTGCACAGTTGAATTTTCGTCCTTGACCTTTTGATGTCGCTGGCCAGGTTGGAAAGGAAGTGGACGTTGGCGAACGGGGCTCGGTCGTCTCCACTGTAGTTCTCCCACCATCTGGACGAAGTGTTGTGTGTGGGTGTGCGTGAGTTTGAACACGTCCGTGGGCTGAATCTATGTATTTGCTTCTGGATTTATGTTATTATTTGTTGCTGTTGACAAACTTTTTGTGTGTTTCGTTGTTTTTATGCAATTTTTGGCTAGCGAGGTAGCTCAGTTGATAGAAGTTTCATGTCTAGATCCATTTTTAATGCGCGCCAACCGTGTTCAAATGCTGTCTCGCCAATTTTTACACACAATCATACGCCTGATGCAAATGTGGAGTGCAGACCTTTGCCACCGTCGTGTGGTGAGAAGATCAGTTTTTTTAATAAAATTACTCAAACCTCGATTGTAATTAACTACAAGATATAAATTTTAATCAGTTCTGCATTTGTTAAAATTGCCTAGTTAAGTTGAGAATCGAATGAAAATAACCGTACAAGCTGAATCAGCTCAATCGATTAGTCAAACAAGCTAATTAATATCAAACTAATCGATCGAAAATTCCACCAATCTACCCATCAACCAATCAATCAAAGACCCCACCCCTCACTTCAAAGAAAGGCAGAAGAGGCATGGGACAACAGAGCAATACATGATGGGGTCGGAGTTTGGCGCCCTGTACAGGTTCCACGTCAAAAGACCCCCTACGGAGATCTGGGCCAACAGGGCCACGAGGTTCAGTACCAGAACGATGAAGGACTTCAACTGTGCGTAGTGGTGTTGAATTTTGTAATATTAGGTACACACACAGACACGCACACATACACACATGCACGCACGCAGACAGACACGCACACATACACACACACAGACAGACACGCACACATGCACGCACACATGCACGCACACATACACGCACACTCACATACACACTCTGTTTATCAATATTATTTATATTTTTCAGAAATAGTGTGTTGTGTGTGTTGTTGTTGTTGAAACTTTTGAAAATTAATTAAGAAATATTAATAAAAAAACAATAATAACATAAATAATAATAGTAGTTATTATTGTTCTTATTATTATCAATATTGTTGTTGTTTTTATTATTATGTTAGTTCAAAACTGATGACAGTTGCATGATGATGATGATGACGAAGAAGAAGATGATGAAGAAAAGAAGATGACGACGATGATGATGAAGAAGAAGAAGAAGATGATGATGATGATGATGATGATGGTGATGATGATGATTGCATAGCTTGCATTGTTGTCGCCCTAACCAATGACTCCGTTCTGCAGCTTCGTATAATAATGCGCTATTATGTTATTTACGAGCATGTGAATGGGTGTAATTTTTGGTG